AAACCTCAGCTGGCACAAGCAATAATGCGCTCGACGCTACCCTTTTGTGTGTAGTGGAGGTCTTCACCACCCACTGCTGCGTCACTTGCATCTGTGCCCACCACGAAAGGCGTGGCTTTAGACTCAAAGTTCGCCAAAGCCGGCATCGGTGCCTCGCAATGAGCGTGTTTTAGCTCCTCAAACACCCACGTGTGTTCGACTTCCCAGTGCAACTCCTCTTAGGTCTACTTTGCTACCAACTTGCGTAGTGGGTCAGTGGTCTTGGCGCGATCCCTCACGCGATGCCGATAACAATTTGCCAAGCCAAGTCATCTACGGGGCTCAGTTTGCCTAGTAGGCGGTGGTCAAGCCCTCACCTCTTTCGTTCGGCATTCTATCAATCCCATGTTGTTGGCAGAGACTGCGTGCCTCGAGGAGGCGAGTGAGCTCTGTAGGGAACAGCACTTCTTTGCAATCAGCGTCAAGTCTGCGCCCCGAAGACGATGCAACACCTGTGTGGGAGTGGAGCAGAGATGAGATTCTAGTCCATGTGCAGTGCTTTGGAAAGGGACGCCGCAAAGTGCCCTACATCGGTCGCCGCTGCGTTGCAGTGTTGAAATAGCGTCGTCTGCACCTCAAAGAGCCGGTTTGGTACAATGAAAGTTGCAGCCTCTACTTGCAGTAGTCGGATATCGAATGCAGTGTATTTGACCACATCGGGCCCATGCAGCGAATCGTATGGGGCATAGGTGTGAGGAAGGGGACCCTCTTCCATCTTTGTCACTGCGTTTAGCCTTTCATAATCGACACAGAGGCATAGGCTACTTTGGCCCTTTATTCACTAGTGCAATGGAGGTGGGATTTTGCAGTAGTGGACCGAGGCCATTTGGAGGGTTTGACAAAGTCCTCTTGATGCCTCTCATCGCATCCATCAACCATTGTACATTGTCTATGGAAGTTGACGTGATATGCGCTTTGGCTGTTTCCTGTTGGTTTTGTCAAATTGTTATTATTAGTCTGCGGAAAGGCTCTCTTTCGTCACTGTTTTACCCTTGTTCACGGAAATGTTCAAATACTTGGTGATCACTGCGTGTAGCACCTTCTTTTCCTTGTCGGTAAAATTTTTGCTGGCGGCAGAGTTCGTCTGGATTTGTCCCACTGATTGTCAGAGTATCGCACGAAGGCCTGCAGGTATTCTTTTCCATCTCTTCTACGCTGAGCGGTTGAGACACTCCTTTTGCTGCAATTTGTATGGATCGCGAAAGTGCCTTTTGCAACCTTCAAGATCGCATGAGCCTTATGCAAAAGGTCGGCTTTAAGAGTTTCACATCTCACACAAATTTTGGACATAGCACAGCATCAACTTCCGAGCCCCCCTTTTTCCCATTTTCTCTTTCTCACTGGCCTTCTCCCGTTACCGGTGTCTTCTCTCTCCGCGTAGCGTGGTTTTTTCAGTGAAGCGATCTGAATTCTCGTAGCAAACTGGAGGGGAAGCCTGTGGGTTTAATAACACATTTGACTGCCCTTAAGTTTTAAAGAAGAAATGTTTGAAGGCTTTCCATTTTACCCACTTATTTCATAAATGCATGAGATCGGGAAGTGAGCAGGGCAAGGTAAACTGTGGCGTACTGGGCCTGGGGAAATTGCCTGGGGCAGTGCCTTTGCATTCTGACGTTTCAATCATCACTGTGGTGTCCGAAAATGCGATCTAGGGTGAGACTATGCCTGGTTTCGCATTTCCTCCCCGGAAGACGTTGTTCAGTCAAGGAGGATGTGGAGGACGTCATTTCTTGAACCGAGCAGCCACTCATGCATCTATGGAAGAAAGGGTGAGTCAAAA